GGTTTTCTTAGATGGATGGATAATGGCTGCAGGGGAAAAAATAGTGCCTTGTGTAACAATTTAGGAGGAAAAAAGATGGCAATACTGGTGGGGGCTGACTGCTCCTCACACACATATTTTGAGTTTACTTTTAGTCTTAACTGAAGTTTACAATCTTTTATTTTTCCCCCATTTTCTTTTATTTCTAGTTTTCTTGGCTGTAGAGTAAAACATTAAATGTGACCAGAAAACACTCAAAGGTTTCAAAAATAAAGCAAAATAAAATAAACCTTTTTTTACTAACCACTGTGATTTTTTTTTTCTTTTTCATCTAGCTCAGTGCTGTGAGATGGGGTAGTGAATATAATATTATTGTTTGGTGACACAGTAGCACAAGATATTTCAGTTTCCAAAAGATGAATGTGAGGAGATGAGGATTTGTGAAAATGTTCCTTTCCTAGTTAGGGATATTAGCACATACTTTGTTTTTGAAGTGGTTGCTAATGGCATTTTTGGTTGAGAAGAAAAGGGAAGTTTATTAGAACCATGCAGTTTCTTTCACTTTTGATAAGCCAGTGGGTAAAGTTGAAAAGTGTAAAAAATAAGTAAATAAAAAAGTACTCTGAAATGCTTAAATGTTGCCACATTTTTCACCAGGTCACATCACTGCAAAACTAATTTATAGTTTTTATTGTATTTGAGTGGAAGAGGTGAAGCCCTCAAAAAGTTGTGCTCTTCACAGGCTGCTGCTGGTAGACATTATGCTGGTTACCAGTAGTCTTCAAATACCAGGAGGATCATCAGAAAGCAGCTGTAGGCCCAACTGCTTCTCATTAAACCCACTGGATGACTCTGGTTTCAGTAGGCTTTGAATCAGGATGTTGAAAGATTTGAACAAAGGAACATACATCCCCATCCTGCTGCCTTAATGAGCATGCAAGACAAATCACAAGTCCTGAGATACTGAGATGCTCTAAATGCTCAGTTCAAAACCTGGATAATTGCCTGCCTGTAGACAGTTTCAGCATGTAATTTTTATATTACTCCACACAGTTGAAAATGTTTCGGGCTTGCCCAGGGCTGCTGAATATACTGGCACTCTTGCTGGTGCAGAGATATTTCAGTTGCCAGCTATTTGACTTCTTCCAGCTGAGGAGTGAAAACATTTCAGGTCAAGTGGAAAAAACTTCACAGTTGTGTGATGGGGAGGGCTTAGGGAGGTAGGGGTATGCAACATCCAGGTTTCAGCCCCTGAAAGAGGAGTATAGTCACCTTTCCAATCAAGCTGTGTAGCCTGCGTGCCACAGTTCAGACTGCTGATTGACTGCCAGGCAGCTTGGGTAGGAAGGAGCTTGGGGGGATGCTGAATTTGCGCATTAATAGTATTTGCAATATCCTTTTGCAAGACGGACAGTGTTTTGACACGATAGGTTTTCATACTGAGCAAAAGAGCTGCATGGAGTTTGGCACGTGATCAGAGCACTAGCCCTATGCTGTAAAGCTGGTTGAGAGGTACTTGAAATTGCTCGGAAAATAAACCAGGATGCTTTTATTTTCCACAGTTACACAAAACTGAAGCTGCAGGTGACTCCAGAAGGGCGCATTCCTCTGAAGAAGTGAGTTCTGTTTCCCTTCCTTCCTATGTATCCTCTGGCTTTTTGTGTGCATATTTGTTTGGGATAAACATGTGACCCCTGTGTCTAGAATAATAATTTTAGCATCTGTTTATAAAACATATTGCAGGAAAAAAAAAGAAAGAGTGCCCAGTGATACTGCGGATGTCTCTGTTCAAATAAATACCCTTTGGGCACCAATCGCCCTTGTGATCTTGAACAAGACATTTAGCTTGTCTGCCCTTGATCATTCCACTTCTGTAAAATAAAAAAGAAAATTAAATTGTAATTTCTTTACCTCAAAGACATGTTGTGAGGATAAATATATTCCCATTGCCTATCACTGGGGTAATATGAAAAGAACAATGGTGACTTTTTCAAATACTTATGTGCCGTAACAGGGACTTCTGTGAGGTAGAGTTAAACTCATTGCAGGCACCATTAACTCCTTTATGTTACTGAGCAGCCAGCAAATGGAAATAAACAGCTAAAGATGCAGTAGACTGGGAAGTCATCTTCAGTCTTTAAGCCATATGGGCCACCAGGGTATGTCTTTAAGTAAATTCTCTCTGCTTTGTCTTCATTTTGCAGCATATACCGCTTGTTTTCCTCTGACAGAAAACGGGTAGAGACCGCGTTAGAAGCTTGTAATCTTCCATCTTCCAGGGTAAGCATCTGAATTTATTCCTGGCCCTTACAAGGTGTTGCTTGTATTTGGTGGTGTTTGCTCTTTATGGAGTCAAGGACAATTTGTTCAAGGCTGGTTGTGCTGTGCTGGCTTTGCTTCTGGATAGGTCCTCAGCAGCAGGTGTGTCTTTTCCTCACAGAAGTTCCTGATGCTCATCTGCAAATCTGAGTACCTTGGATTTGAAATTGTGTAGGGACCAGAAGTGCCTGGAAGAAGTGTGAATGATTTAAAAGAAAAGGCAAGTAAGCTGTCAATGCTGCAGGGCTGCAGTCATTGTATGCTGCTTATCCAGCAGCTGCCCTCAACATGGAGCATTTGCAGGATGGTACCTCAGCCTCAAGAAGGTGGTGGGTTTTTTTCAAGAGGAATGAACTTAAACAGTGATTCTTGTTGGCACTGGAGAGAAGATGTCCTTAGTCTTTCCTCCCAGGTGGAGATTCCCCTCCAAGAAGCTTCTTGCAGGGTAATTCCTACATTCAGAGGTCCAAGAATTGTGGCAGAACAGGTCTGTAGCAGAGGAGATCCTGCATCTGTGGATTGTTTGCTTTTGTGGAAAAGTCCGTGCTGTGGCGTTTGCTCAATATTTGCTTCAGCAGTGGTTTCAAACTGCCAGTTCCTACAGCTCCAAAAGAGCAATGAACCCAAAACTCACATGCCCCTTACCAATGTGGCATTCCTTCATAGGTTTGGGAGCTTAATTCTATAAAATTCCAAAAACTGTCTGTACAGTAGGTACAAATGATTATTATCATCTTATCTAAAGTAAGGTTATGAGATTAACAACATGGAAAAAATAATTTTGAAGATCAGGTTTCATTGAATTGTTACCAAAAAAAGAGAAGATGGGGGGGAAAAATCACAGAAGCATTGCTTTTAAAATAATTTCATTTTTTATTTCTCTTTACTACATATCTCTGAAACAAATCTAAACACCACTGGAGTCCGTGAAAGAAACTAGAGCCTTTTTCTGCTATTTATTTAAGTACAGTCAGTTTTACGTACATGTTGCTGGATACTTGTTGCTTGGATACCATCTTGAAAATTATTCATATTATAAAGTAGAGCCTTTCTTTGCTTTGGACAAAAGAGAAATATGCTTCGTGAAACAAAGGAAACGGTGTTGATCAGCTTGGAAAAAAAAATGTTTTGGAAGCTAAGTGCTTACAAAGCCTGAAACTCTGAATATCGTGGAGGTAAAGGAATAGAAGAAAAACAGTTATTCAACTACTGTGCCTGCAGTATTCTATGCAGTTGTGATCCCATTTATCTGAACAAGTAAAATTCTTAACTTCAACTTCCAGCATTTCTGTCCCATTGTAGTACAGGACAACTTCTGTTCCTGTAAAGCCTTGAAGAAGACTGTACTTCCAGCAGTGTGCAAGACGTGAATATCAGGCAATCTTGTACAGTAGAGCCACACCATATTATTCAGAGAATTCATTAAATTCTCTCATGGACAATGACAGCTTAGGTCTTTGCGGTTGTTTTATTCAAGCCTTGTGAACATCCCTCTGTCTTCTCTCCAAGTTTCATAGAAAAAACATACTTCTCATTGATTAGGAAGATACAGGACTCACTGGCTGTGAGTTTCACATGATATTTTGCTGCACCTCTCAGAACTTGTGAATGATCCTAAAGCACAAAATGAAATTCAGAGTAATGGGTAAGAGGATCCCAAGTCTCTCTTCCTGATTCATAGCTTCAAGGTTGGGACAGTCCCTCATCTATCTTATGTGATTACTTGAGCATGGGACAGCCTGAGCTATGCTGCCAGGGGACAGTATCAGTGCAGGGACTTTTCTGTGACAGTACAAACTTTGGCATCCACTGGCCCTGCTCTTTAGGAAATTCCCTGTCTGTGTGCTTGCCAGGAGACCTTGTGGGACAACATGTAGGTATTGTATTTAGTGTGAGAAGAGGAAGAGTTCTCATTGCCTGGATAACTGGCTTCATCCTGCTATAGAAGAATAGCACCAGACAAGCTCCCCAGAAGTGCCAAAGTGAACTCTTTATTTCAAATTTAGGGACCTTAATAAGGGATAAATTCTCTTTAGCACTGAGGACTCCAGCCTTGATTCAGCCAAGCATTTGAGCATCACTGCAGTGGGATGACCCATGGACTTCAAATCAAGAACATTTTCAAAGCATGGATTTATTTATTTATGTTTTTCTGGGTTGGATTTGGCATGTGTAGAGTCTTGCAGGACCAAGCACTGAGTGATTTTCAGCAGCATTCATCATCCCGCAGATCTGAAATCAGAGGAATGTTTAAATAAATGTTGAAATGAAGTTTTAAAATATGTCAGTGAGTTTTTTACTTTGGCATCTGATTCTCTTATGATTTTTTTTAAGTCCTGGCTGATTATTGTTGGAAATTTTTTGTTTGTTTTAGTCAAGGGTGCCCTAAATAGAATTCAAATAACTTTATTTTAGTCACCTATATGGCTATGAAGACTGGTTTCTGCCTTCCAGTAGATGTTCATAATGAAGGACCAGTGAGCTGGACTGTTGACTTGAAATGGAACAACCAGCTATTGAATCTTGTCTATACAAAGAGTTTGAATTAGCTGTTGTGCTGCTGATTCTATAACAAACTGGATACAAATGTTATAAAAGCAGACAGGTTACCAGACAAATCAACACTGCTTGAATTTAGTAGAGTCTTAATCATAGAATGAAATTGAATACCAATATTCAGCAAAGCTGGAAATGAGGGTACTCTCATGTGGTACAGAAAGTTTTTTAATTTGTTCATTGGTCTCCAAAAAGAGATGGGTAGGTGGTGTGGGTGATTCCACTGGAATGGAGATGGCTCTGATCAAGCTGAGGAAAGTGGCAGTGTATTTTAGTCCCTTTGGGCAGGCAGGCTTTTGGAATCCCAATACAGTTGTCTGAGGTTGTGCCTGGGGTGACAAATGCTTGCAGCAAAGCTTTCATCTCCCATCTAGATCTCTGTGGTTTTGTAGCCCACCTCTTATATTACCAGTAGGAATTAATTATTAAAAGGTTCTGTACTTATGCCTTAAGTCTTGTATTTGTTATCCTCTTTGGAGAAAGATGTTTGGAGATACATGTTGGGAAACAGGTATATTTTCTTCATTGGAACCAAGTGGTAAATAAAAGCCTGGATCTTCACTTACTGGAAAAGACAGACAACTTGTTCAGTGTTGAGTACCTTCAAGTCCTCTGTAAGGAAAAAATATATTAGGTCAATGGGAGACTGTAATTCTGTAGTAATTACAGAATCAACATCAAAAATGCCCTTAGGAGAAGTGCTGGCTGAGGAGCAGTAGCCTCCTGAATAGTGATTAGAAGTGGAGGCCACAAAGGAGCCTGAGGTGCCAGCTTTAACCAGAAAATTCACAAGCTTTATGAATGCTGGACATCAGGAAGACACAAGTGTCAGTGGTCCTTCTCTCAGTCAAAACGCACTGCAGAGCAAATGCATCAAAGTGGAGTAGATACATTTCCATATATAGTTCTGTGTCCCTGGTGGCTGTCACTGAAAGGAGCTGTTTCCACCCTCCAGCTTCAGGTTACAAACTTCTTCATCCACCCTTGCGCTGGATTTAGCAGTTGTGCCGTTGGAAAGTTACCTGGCTCAGTGAGCTGGTCCCACAGTGAAGTGCACAGGGTTGTGTTGGCCAGGCAAGTTTTGAACTAGTTCACCCTGCAGCCACTCACAGTCTGAAAAACAAACAAAAAAAAAGGTCTAATGGCTGGTGACCTCAGACCACTGAAGCCCAGAGGTGGCTGCTCAGGTGGAGCAAGGAATTGGCTCAGTTCACTCCCAGCATGAGCTGGGTCAGGTTCAGTCCATGCTTGCAGACAGAAACAGTGAACGATGGTCAAAACACAAAAGCTTCTTCGGCCTCTCCAGGTTTCATAGATGAAAGGAGAGATAAAGTGACATCCATGGCATCTATTATTTATGTCTGTTAACCTAAAGCAGGAAAAATATGGAAAAGTTTCCTTCCATCTAACAAAGACTTGAATTGATACTTCCAGTTCCCTTGGCAACGGTGTTAAACAGGAGGAATAAATAAAAGCAACAATTTCTTCTATCAGCAGCTTGCTTCAGAGATGACCAGGTTCAACAGCATTTAAAAGCAAACAGCTTTGTGTACAAGTTGCAATTTTCCTCCTCCAGTTCATCAGAATCAGGCATTATTTTGGAGCTGTGGAGAGACATCATGTGGGCCCATGGTGCTCCCAGGGACTACAAATTATAGCTTTTGATGAAGTTACCTTGTGTGGAGGAAGCACAGAAACTAGATGTATTCAGTATTTACATTTCACTCATTTTGTTTTCTCCTTTCTCTTGTTCCTTTATAAGGTTTCCTCTGCAAAAAACACACATTTCTGTGCCATTTTGCTTTCTCAAGTGCACTGGAGCAAAGGCAGAAGCCAGGGAGATCACTGGTGCTCATCTGTGCTGAAAAAAGCTTTTCATCTTCCTAGGGGTTCTTATTTCTTCCCAGCACCAATGAAGAAGCAGCCCTTGCAGTCCTTCTGCAAAAACTCTGGAGCTTAAAGGCAGCATGTGCAACTGAGACGGAGAAGAGCTCTTGAGCTTCGTGCAAAAGCCTGTTTACCATGTCCAGTCCAGTAATTCCCTCCAGTTAAAAACAGTAATTCTATTTTTTTCAGAGAAAAGCCAGCAGATGTAATGGGGATGGTCAAAGTGCCATCTAGAAGCAGGATTAAGTGTAAATAGTTTTAAATTTTAGAAAATGTAAGGAAAAAATACCTCCTCATGATACAGATAAGGGGATAAGGGCAGGAGTTGGCCTACCTCCCTCCTTCCCTCTCTGTCTGTCTTTCTGTCTGTCTTTCTTCTTTGCAGGTGCTCAGAGAATTTTGCCCCATGGAAAATAAGATGATGAATATATTTCTATTAAAAAGTACTCTTTAAGTTGCTCTGTTATCCAGGAGAATTCATCCTGCAAAATCTGGTCTTCTTTACGTTGCAGAAAGAAAAACAAAAGAAATGCAGTAGTGAGTGATCTGCTTTCAAAGAGCATCTAAAAGTGCTGTATTGTTCTTTCACTATTTTTTTTCCTGTTTTACAGAATGATTCCATCCCACAAGATGACTTCACACCAGAAGTGTACAGGGTATTCTTAAACAACCTCTGCCCTCGGCCTGAGATCGACCACATCTTTTCCGAGTTGTAAGAAAAGACACTCATCTGCTTATTTATTTTTTTTCCCTTCACTGATTTTATGGGCTGGGGTTGTCAAAATCAGTTATTTAGACTACAGCACCATGCTTTGATTGCCAAGAACAGATTTCAGTGTTTAGCAGGGCTGTTATTTAACCTTGGATTAAGGGTTACTTCTCTCCCAAGCTTTTGCCTCTGTTTCTAATGGCTAGAGTTTTCATTTGTTCCTAGAGGAGCAGAACCGCTGGGTCTTTGTTTTTCTGTATGGATTAGGATAGTTAGGGCTTTTCTGAAATTGAAGGAAAGAGAGTAATAAGCAATAATAATAATACACAGTAAGTGTGAGAATGTGTATAATCATCCCAAAAAAGCTTAGTTAGTTGCAAAAAGTGCAGTAACTTTTAGGATTTGTGCATAGTGAATTTGCACCATGAAATTAAGTTAGCAGCCAGCTACCACCAATTTCATACATTCAGTTACAAGCAACTTAGGCTGCTTCTACACCTGGGGCGAGTCATTGTACTTCTCACTTTCTGCAGAGCCTAATCAGTGGACTCACATGTGAAACAATGTGAAAGTGAAGTTATTTCCAAAATATATTCCAAGACCACCAAAGCAATTGCTGAACATATCTTTGCCACATTGGTGTGCACACATACTCCTTTTGTGCTTGTTTTCTCCAAGGTTGAGGTTTCAGAGGAACTCTGCCTTGACCTAGCTTGCTCTCATTGAGCCAAGGGTAGACTTCCCATTGGTGTGTTGCTGAGTAGAAGCAGGCCAGTCCTCAGTGCTGTAGGCAACATGCAGCACATCACCTGGCTTGGAGGCTTCCTCAATTTCCATCTAGTTACAAATTGTACCCAAACTCTGCTCTTTTACTCAATCTCTGCTTTGCAGAGTGCCTAGCATTGCAAGTTTAGATATTAAGAAAGCAAACAAACAAACTGCAAGCAAATACTGATATAATGAAGTCAAGGATGCTGTTATTCAGCAGTAAACCCAACTAGCTGGGCTAGTAATTCCAGCAGAGTGTTTGTGGCAACCTCAGGATTGAATTCGATGTCATTTTCTCATCTTTTTTAAACTGCTTAGTTGCAGGAATTCAGAGGAATGAAAAGTTTTTAGAATTGCTCTAACTCTTTACATTGATGTCAGTAATGCTGAAGGCTTTTAAAAATCTTACTCCTAGATGTGTGATGAATATTTGTCATTAAATGCTGGCAAAGGAAATTAGTCTGGAGACACAGTGGGACAATATTTTTGTTGTACAATAGTTTGAATCTTCAGTTTCCTTGGGAAATTACAGAACATTGAACAAGATTTCAAGGAAATGTATTCCTTTGGTGGGGTTTTTTTGAGTATTTTAATGACTTTGGTGTTTCTTTCATTTTTCTCCAGTGGTGCCAAGAGCAAACCTTACCTTACTGTTGATCAGATGATGGAATTCATAAATTTCAAGCAACGTGATCCACGATTAAATGAAATCCTTTATCCACCTTTAAAACAAGAACAAGTTCAACAGCTGATTGAGAAGTATGAACCCAACAGTAATCTAGCAAAGAAAGGTCAGTGGTTTTAAAATTCTCACTGTACTCAGTTTCTGATTTGAAACAATGACTCAATTATCCTACAGGGCATGCTAAAGAAAAATGTCGTTCAGAATCAAAGTGTATTTCCTGCTATCTCCTTTTGGGTTATACAAGCCTGCAAGACATTGTGTGGTTGATTTTGAAATGTATTTGTTTGGGATCAATTTAGAAAGGATGGGGGTGGTTTCAGTGTTTAGTTTTCAGTATGTGTAATTGAAAATTTAGAGCAGTTGCTCTGGTATGCAAACTTCAGCAGAATCCTCACTATCACAATGACTGTTTACGAGCATCTGAAATGTAAAGTCTAAAGAAACAATTGGTGGCACTGAAACTGAGATTATTATAATTCTATCATTTAATAATAGCAATAAGTCCAGCCCTCTGCTTTCCGATAAAGTAAACTTACACAAAGCAAGATGTGAGAGTAGCTGAATGTGTTTTGTGATATAATCACAGAAAATTTCCTTTAGAAAATCTTGAGTGTTGTCAGGGCTTAACTGGGCATTTTGCCAAAATCAGTGAGAGAACTCCTGCCCACATCTCTGCAGCTTTTTTGCTACCACCACAAATCTTAAAATAGCATTGAATTTGTGTCTGCATCCTGTTTTATTGCAATCCACATATTCTAATGATTACCCCAGCTTTTAATGTGTTCATACCTGAAAAACAGATCTGATATGTAAAAATTGTTTTGGTCTAGAGATTTTGGATCTAGAGGAAACAAAAAGAGATCTCTTCCAGAAGTCTAGAGGTTAACTGAAAGCACTTCTGCCCCTCTCCCTGGAAGCCTTCTGACCTAGACAGCTTCCCAAAGGAAACTGGTGGCTCTCGACGCCATAATCAGTGTTGTCTCAAGGCAGCACTCTTCTTATTTTTCTGCTAAGGCTTCTTATTTTTTCTAGTCCAATCAAATTTAGTTTTTCCAGAGGTTTTGAGGGAGGGTTAAATCCTGCTTCTTTGTCATGCTTATGCAAACTGTCTTTTCACCAGTGAGAATACCAGCATGAGTAGATGACAACACATTGTGACCTCTCCTTTCTCAGCCATGCATGTGCTTACCTTATTTCACATCAGCAACAGGAAAGTCTGATACCTAAAAGACCAATCTTATTACCCAAGTGTTGGCACTTCATATAAACAAAATAAAATATTTAGTAGGAGGTGTTGCTATCATTCTAGCAGAACACCAATCAAGATTAGGTCACCTTCTGACTAGCAATAAAGAGGAAGCATGAAACAAACCTCAAAGAAGGGTGTTGTGATTGTTTTGTCCTAGCACTATCCACGCAGGATTTGCAGGACATCTCCAGCTCATTCTAATTTATGTTGGTGCACACATTTGCTGCAGTCTCTTCCTCTTCCACAGGTGCCTCTCTTTGTGGGTATGATTTACATTGATCTTATAGAACCAGTTTTCACAGAAAATGCTAAGTTTAAGAACGGAAAGGCAGATCTAGAGAATTGATTTGTTCTGTGGGTTGGTTTCTGGGTTTTTTTCCTCTTCAAACTTGTGCACTGAGGTCCAGAAAACTCTTGACAGAGCCGACACAACCTGTGAGCCATGTTTGTGCTGCATCCCTTGTACAGCACCAAAACTGGCAACAGAACTGCAGCAACTGGCACATACTGCTAACTGTGCTCCACTGCCAACCATACTCTTACTTTCTTTAAGTTACAGGAGCTGGCTTAACAGGAGTGATATGGGCACGCAGTATTTTCTGTACATCTGCTCTGGGTTGGGTTTGCAATTTGCTGTATATTAAATGAAGTGTAGGTGTGCACTTAATCCTACACTCAGAGAATAATTACAAACAAATGCTGCACGTCTGTAAAATGTCACCAAAATATAACACTGCATATTCAAAATAATGATTTAACCTTTTGATGTGATGTTTTGTGAAAGAGGTTGTCAATCAGGCTTTCTGCTGTTGGAAAGGACTGTTCCTAGGCTGGATTGCAGGGATGGCAGCCCAAAGAGACACACTATAGGGACATTTTCCCTGCCACTGAAACTGCTCAGGCACCAAGCAGAGATGCTTTTTTTCAGAAGACCTATGGATGTTCAAACCATGGTTAGATGTGGTCCTGCTATACATCAATGAACTTGTTGCCCTTAACTTCTCACCTCTGCTGCTCAGAAATTCTACTACATCTATTGTGGTAGCATTGCTAATGTCTTCTTATCTGTTGGAAGGGAGGTGAGGTAGGGATGGAAGTAGGATGTTGGGAATGGCCTCAGTGATATCTGTAAGAGCACGTAGAAGCTTTAGGACACCCAGACCAGCAGGTGAAAAAGTTAAGAAGATAGCAGAAGTCTTCATCCAGTGTAGTTCTGGAAAAGGAAAAGAGCCCAGTATCTTTGTGAAGGGAGATGGGCTCAGGGCTCTTGTGCACATGCTCATTTATGCTTCTGCATTTCAAAGTAAGCTGGAAGAGGTCCCAGCTAAACAACTGCTCAGGATTAATGACATACACCAAAAAACAGAAAAGCAGCATAACAAGGCACATGAGGTAGAGGGAATGATGTGAGAGATTTACATGATAAACAGCAGGGTGGGAATGGAGTTACAGGTGGCCTAAGGATCATCACTAGTGTACCAGAGCAACGCAATTAAATAATTAGACTTTTGGAGCAGTTTTGCACAATTTTGGTTCAAGATGCAAGCCAGATCTGACAACATGGCATATGTATCTGTTCTTTCATTGCAATGAGAGTTACTCCTTTGAAGTAAATTGCAGATACCAGTCAAGAACAAAAGAAATAGCCATAAAGAAATGTAAAAGTTCTGGTTTGCTGCTTCCTGTGGGTAATGACCAATTTGAACTACTTTGTGGTCGTAGAGACTTTACAGGCTTGTTTGCAAGAATTAGGTGATATAAATTGCCAACCTTTGTGCCCGACAAATTCCTTTTCCTCAGATTATTTCTGAATTTGAAGATTAGCAGCTGCTAAGTGTGTGTGTTTGTGTGCATGTGCCTACACACCGGTGTATTATTTTGTTTCCACAAGCTGCCTTTCTGATGAGCTCCGTTCATTATCTCGCTTCATTAATATAACATCAGATTGCAGAGCAATTAGGGACAAACATACACATAAATGGTGAAGGTCTGTCCGCTTTCATATTTGTTTCTGTAGAAATTCTGTGTTTAATTACTCAGGCAGTCTATCTGATGTTCAGATGTCCCACTGAAGTAAAGGGTTTGATATTCAATATACCCATGAAATAATCCCAGCTATTCTCTGTAATTTGAGTTTTTAAACCTGTATAGTCTCTGTTTAAACTGCCAGAGAAAATTACTTTTGCAAAAGCCTGAAACAAAGTTAGTGGCAAGTGTCCTTATTTTTCAGGTATTCTGTAAGGCCACAAGGCCTAGATTTTTAATAATCTTCTACAAAGTTAGACAAAATGTATATTGTCATTTTTTCTCTCATCAAGGTGCAAAATTAAACTCAATACTGGGTATTCACAAGGATTAAAAGCATTTGCTAAAAGCATTTATGCTCTGGGAGTAAGATTTCATGTTTGCAACATGCAGAACATCCTGGCCTTGAGGTAATAAATGCTTAAGTTTATGAGTGGTGTGGGAAGAGAGTATAGGAATATAAAAATCTATTATGTTTCATTTCCTTGAACGTTATATTAATTCTCACTTAAAGCTGAATTCCCGAGGTTGTTGAAGTGTAATTTCTGGGGGATTCCGGACAGAAACACAAACTCAGGTACCTGGGCTACTTCTGAGAGTGTGATGCACGTGCTTCTTAGCAAATAAAATTTTCTGCATTGAAAAGTTCTTTTAAATAGAACTGGGGATTTTTCCTTAAAAACTTAAATTCAAATTAATAAAATAGAGACTATGTGCCTTCATACAGCAGCCTCACTGCTTGCACCTGCTACCCTCTTTGGACAGTTCTAGACCTTCACTCATCTGATGATTCTATCTTCTGATTTCCCATCTAACTGTATTCATGATCTGTGCACAGCCACTGTAAAACAGTATTCTCTTTGAACTTAATTATTCTCTCGTAGCTAAATAAACAAATTTCTAAAGAAGGGTTGTACTGGCTTAACTTTCACAACACTAGTTTAATGTTTTTGACATCTGATAATTGTCTGTTCCTCTGAATGCCATTATAGCCCTGTTTTCTGTGCCTATTGCAGTTTAATTACAGTATTTTGAACACAGTAAGCAAGAACTGGACATAATATTTTACACTTATACAACATGGCTCTTCAGGTCCCTGGTAAAATCAAATGCCAGCATACTTCCGGATAAGGGCCTCAAGTTGCACAGTTTTGAGTAAAAAGGCTGCCCGTGCTCCTGCTTGTTGCTAACATATTTTTACGTGTTTTATTGCTGGGATGCAACTGAGCTTCTGCTACATCAGCTGATACGTGGGCTTGACATCTACATGGGTTAAGCATCTGGAGTAGTATTTTATTGTGACTGAAGCAAGCTGTTGTGATTAACGCTTTGTGTCATACGGTGAAGGAGATTAATGGACTATATATAGCATGTTTCCTTATCAGGTGGAAGCAGAAGGAAGTTCCTGGTGTTGCGGAACAGTCTCTCACTGTCAGCAAAACCGTGCTGGGGGCTGGTAGGGCTGGTTAAGTAGCATCTTATCGTTTGGTATTTCCAGGTTGTAAAGCATTTGCATTGGGTGACTGGCATAACTGCTAAATGTATTCCTTTTCAAATTACAAGGTTGATAATGGGATTTCTATTAATAAATCAGTTGCCAAGTGGTTGACTGGGAATTTCCTTATTTGCTTCTGTTTCTAAGGGGGCTTGTATAAAAGTAAGTTTTTCAGCATCTTTTTACATTATGGATGAGAGATGGGACATCAGTGCTGAGTTTCAGTTGTCTCTGCTGGCAGTGTCCAGGGTCCTGGGAATGATAGTGCTTGTTCCTAGAATTATATGAAACTTACCAAATACATTCAGCACAAATTCTGAAAAAAAAAATGTGCTAT